CCCCAGGAGAGCCCGGGAGGGCCACTCGGGCACAGGACCCGGTCCAGCGTGGCCTGGTGTGAGGCTCCGAGGCGGCAGGTGGGAAGGTGAGGAAGAAGAGAGTGGACCTGGGCAGGGCCCGGGAGGAGGGGCAGGGCCAGGCAGCTCAGGGAAGGGCCTGTGGGCTCAGAGCTTTGGCCACACTGAGGAGGTACAAGCAAAAGTGTCTTAAGGGCCAGAGCCACCGTGTGGGAGGGGCAGCAGAGCCACCTGGAGGACCAGCATGCAGACCGCGGTGCACCCTGAAGATGGCCTGTGGGCTAGGGCCTTCCTCAGGCCCATCATGGCAGTCGGGGGCTCCCCATGCACAGCACAGAGAGGCACCCACAAACCCCCCAGCACACCCAGGGGCCCTGTGAGAGCCCCAGACCTGCCGTGACCTGGCCCAGCCCAGCCCCAGCCTCGAGCAGAGCCGGGATGGAGAGCAAGGCTCCCCGGACGGACCTCCCAGAGAACCTGAGCCTCCCCTCTGGAAAAGAAAAGAAAATGAGGCCCCAGCTCCTCTGGGGGAAGAACCTTCTAAAGCCTGCCCCTGCTGACCTCCCCGCGAAGGGCATGTCCAAGCCCCGGTGGCTTCCTGAAAGGCAGCGATTCAAAGCTCTGAAGACGACAGGTTTCCCTCCCCCACTCCCACCCATGGAGGGTGCCCCGCAGGCCCCTCCAAAGAGAGGCCCCCGCACATCTGTAACCAGACGCCTCGATGATTGTTTGGTCTCCTGGAAGCTGGTAAATGATTCAGGAGAAATGCTTTCCCCCGTTTTAATTAATCCACATAGAATTTCAGCGGCAGCAACAGAGACTGGCTGCAGCCGGGCCCAGCAGGTACGGGTGCCTCATTACCCCAACTCCATCGCCAAGAGAGATTTCACAGGAAGAAACTCGCACCCCACTGAAACGAGGAGGCCCCCACCAAGCGAGAAGTCCTGGGGCTCAGAAGATGCTCAAACCCCGTTCCGGCCCCAGCTCATCATTCAAGCGGAGCGTGAAGATAAGGTCAGGAAGCCAGCGCAGCCATGCCATGGGCACCCGACCCTGGACAGGGAGGAACAGAAACGGCCATCTGCACTCAGGGCTCCTCGCTGCTGACGCTCAGCCTTGTTCGACCGTCCCACGGTCCCATGATGCCCTCTGGGATGCCGCGAGGCACACCAAGACCCAAAGAAGGGGGCCTGCCTCAAAGCCATCCCACGGCCCAGGCAGAATGGAGGCCCCGCCCAGGACTCTCCCCACGTGCTCTAAACGGGGGCTGTCCTGAGGCAGAAGATGAGGAGAGATGGCCCCTCTGCACAAAATATGGGGGGAAACAGGATGCTGAGACCAGAGAGCACACGGGTGGCCAGGGACGCCCTGGGCAAGGCAGGTGCCGTCTCAGGTGGCACAGAATGGAGGGGGAGCCCCGTGTGTGAGCCAAGGGGCACGGGTTGCTTCTCTGGGGACTAAGGAGAGTGGACAGATGGAGCTCAAGGGGTGGAGGCCTAGAAGAAAAGTCTTTGGTTTGTTTTGGGGACTTATGAGGTGAGGGAAGGTGCTAGAGGAGGAGATTGCAGACGTGAGGGAGCGAGGCCAAGGTGGTCCGTCAGCCCACCTTCTAGAGAGCCCCGGGAGCGAGGGCAGCTGGGAAACAGCTGGGCGGCACCTGGCCGCACACTCTCTCTCCTCCGCAGCGGGCGGGCAGTGGCTCCCAGACAGCCCTGGTCACACTCGAGACCCATGAAGGAGACCTTATTGGAAACAGTTCTTTGCACATGTAATTAAATTAAGGGCTTTGAGATAAAATCAGTGAGGATCATTCAGTTTGGCTGAAATCCAATGAAAACAGGGCCGGATCTGGGAGGGAGGAGAGGGTCACGTGAAGACAGAGGGAGAGATTGGCGTGATGTGGCCACGGCCAAGGAGCCACGGGCAGCTGGGAGAGAGGAGGGACCCCCTCCTCTAGAGTGTCCAGAAGGAAAGTGGCTCTCCAGCGGCATCTCCTTTTAAAGATGTTTTTAGGGGCTGGGGTTGTGGCTCAGTGGTAGAGCACCTGCCTGGCATGTGTGAGGCGCTGGGTTCCATCCTCAGCACCACATAAACAAACTAAACAAAATAAAGGCATTGTGTCCATCTACAATGATGGACACAATGCCTTTATTTATTTATTTATTTATTTATTTATTTTTAACGTGGTGCTGGGGTGGAAGCCAGGGCCTCACACGTCCTGGTGCTCCCCCACTGAGCTGCACCCCAGCCTGCTCTCCAGCATCTTGATTTTGAATGTCTGCCTTTCAGAACAGGAAGAGAATCAGAGTCTGCTGGTTTAGGCCACCAGTTCACGGTCAGTTACAGCTGCCCAGGAAACTAACCTGCCTCCTAAATTCAGGCTCCTGAGAGGCCAGGACTCATTCTACAGATGGAGCATCAAATAGCCAGGAAGAAGGGACCCTGCCCGGCCCCGCCTGGGGCCAGAGAGAGGAGCTGAGGAGGGGCAAGCGGGTCACTGGGAGCCCGAGCTAGGGAAGCCGAGAGGCCGGCCCAGGCAGGGCAGGGGCCGCTCTGCGCAGGACACTCAGGTGGGGGCCGGGGTGTGCGAACGTGAGGGGCTGGCGGGTGGACACACAGCAGGGCCACAGCCGGGTGAGCAAATCCACTGTTTCAAGACTTGTCTCAGTTGGGCTTGGGGCCGATAACTGTTAGCACACTTACAGCTTGTATGATGGTTGATTTTCTAGAGGGACTTCTGAAAATCAAGGGGGCTTGCTCATGGATGGTGACGTGTAACAGTAACCGTATGACATACTCAATTATTGAACCCTGGAATTGACTCAGACCAGTGTCCCCAAACCCTCCACAGAGGATCTCCATACCCCGTCCAGGCTAAAAGGCATCCCCTCTGTATCCGTGCTGTTCCCTCCCGTCTCCTTGCCCTGATTGCCACTGGGTGAAAACAGTGGCCGGAGTGTCAGAGTGTCCCAGGGCACCCATGGTGTGCCCCTGAGGGCCGCAACTCCCTTCCTAAAGACCCCCACCCCACCTTTCTCCTTTTGCCTCAGCCTGATACTCAGGCCCACACCCAGGGGGACAGGATGCAGGGAACCAGCCTCTCCTCCTGGAACTGGCCTCCCTCAGAGAACAGCCCGCTGGGCAGCTGGGCCGCTCCCGGCCGCAGCCTACCCCTGCCCCGCCGCCCCTCCATTTGCAGCTGCAGAAGGGAGGAGGTGGATAAGCCAATGTCAAACGTCCAGCATCTCCTCCCTTGGGTGTCACTGAGGAAGTGCCTGGAGGATCCAGGGTGCTGAGGGCTGCTGTAACATCACACCGAGTGCAGCCAGTGGCCCCCCAGACAAGAAAATGACCACATACTAGCAGAGGAAGAGCTCTCCTGCAGCCTGCCCGCTGGGTGCCGAGCTGTGGGGCAGACGCTGCACCCCAGGCCGCCCCCCCTCGATGCTCCAGTCCAGACCCCACCAGGGGACCCAAGGGCAAAACCCACCACTGAAAAGAGAAAGATCAGAAGCACTTTCCCCTGGGTGGGCACTGGTCAGCATGCGCCCCTCCCAGGAGAGTGGAGGTTTCTACTCAGTGAGTTCCTGGAGGGTCTCTCAAACGCAAAGTGGTCTCCCCTCTCATTTGCACCCCGCTGAAGGACTCTCTGAGCACCTCCTAAATGAGGGACACAAGAACCCTGTCACACAGCCACTTCTCCTGTGTCACAGATGAAACCGAGGCCCAGAGTAAACTCTCCACCCCCAGTGACATCTAAGAAGTGGCGGGTTGTAACTTGAACCCAGATTTGTCTGTCCCCCTCCTGCACCACAGTGGCCCAGAGAGAGATCATCATGTCTGCCAGACAGAGCCCTCCCCATGCTCCTGGACAAGGGGCCCTTCCCTGCTGGCCCTCAGCAGGACACCTGTTCCCAATAGCTCCCAGTTGCCCTGGGAACTGGCCAGTGTTTGGGCAGGGCTTCCCAGGGTTCAGAGTGAAAGGTTTCTGCTCAAGAGGCCGCCATGGGGTGTGCGTGAGTGATCCTGAGTGTGAGGGCCCAGGCTTCCCCAGCCCTCTCCCCTGTGCTCGCGGCCTCCCGCTGAGCTCCAGTGACCCTCCACGCCAAGAACCTGCCCTTTCTGCCGGCATAAAGCCAAAGCCCAAGTCCACAGCTAGAAAACAGAAAGAGGGACCGACCACCGGGAGCTCACCTTAGATGATCATTAGAAGCACTGGAGCTGATTCCCCGGAGGACCCCACCTCTTGCCAACCAAAGGACAGATATCTGGTATAGTTAAGGGAGTGAGTGGCTCAGGTGACCACCTCTCAAGGTGGCCAAGAAGAAGGAAGCTGCCTGGCACCTGTGTCTTCCCACTGTGGAAAGCAGATGGCGGCAAGGCCACTGCCCACCTGCAGAGCGCCCCAGAGGCTTCCTGCTCCTCCGCGTGCAGGCCTCCCTGCTGAGGCTGGCCGGGCTGGGCAGTAGTTCTTTCTTGTAGGCCTGTGGGTTTTCTGCTCAGAGGGCAGCTGGGAACACAAGGGACCTGGTCCACTCAGAGCTCAGTTCAGGTCTCAGGGGCCAGGAGACACCAGGGCCCTCTGGGATACCCCCACTCTTTTTCCTTCCCACCGGGGGCCCTGGCCTCTCCATCCATCTGACAGAGGAACTGAGCAATTATGGCAAACTGAGAAGTTACTGGTTTCTAGTAGGTGCTGTCCTCAGGAAATCCACAGCAAAGCGAGGCCAGGTTGGGGCAAAGTACCTGTCCCTGGACCCCTTCCAGCACTGACTGTGCCGTCGGCCGTCGGGCATGAGAAGGCCGGAAGGGGAGTCAGGGAGGAGGAGAGTCCTGGGCAGGAAGTCCACCACGGTCAAGGGAAAGGGGCTCAGAGACACAGGGAAAGCATAAGTCCCATACAACTGTTTAAACAAAGGGGAACTGGGAGTGTAAGGGTCCGGCAAAGCGTCGGAGGAAGAGACCACCAAGAGACTGACTCATGCAATTGCAGAAGGGGATTTATTGGGGATCCATTCCAGCGCGCTGGGGCTCCGTGCTCACTCAAGAAGGGAGAGCAGCCCAGAGCCCCGAGCAGGGGCTGGGCACTGCTTAAGTACACTTTTTGGGGAGGGCGGGGACTTTACATACATCACAGTCTCCTTTAACAAATCATCATACACCACGGGAAAATCAAACAACAATTCTAAAACATGATTAGTTCATTCATTGGCGGGAACAGGTCGGGCGGGGGTGATAGGTCAGTTCTAAGGAGGGAGGTACATTCAAACTGATTGGTTCAGGCCCTGCGATGTCTACGTGCAAGGTCACACAGAGTCCTAGGTTATTAAACAACCAGGCGGTCAGGGGGAATATTTACTGGGCAGTTCTGGTGAATTGTCCTAACAGCTACAGGAATTTCAGGTTTTGCGTGTAGCATAGGAACTTAACAATACCTGGTCCTTTACTTTTTAACTCAGGCCTTGCAGCTTAGAAACTTTACAATGCCCGGTCTTTTAACACTTTAACTTCAATTTCTTTTACCCTTACAGGAGACTGCTACCGACTGCCCTGGACAGAACTCTAAGGCCGTGGAGAGTGTCACCAGCGGTAGGGCTACCAGAATGAATGACCACAACAGGGTCTTTCCAGGTACTGGAGGCCGCAAGTCCAAATCAAGGAGCCGGAAGGGGCTGTTTCCTTCTGAGGCTCGGAGGGAGGCTCCACCCGGCCATGCCTCCTCCCGGGTCCTGGGGGCATCAGCATCCTGGGCATCCCTCTCTCAGCGTGTGGACACCTCCGTCACATGCGTCTCTGGACCTTTGACTCCGTCTCCTCTGTGGCTCCAGCCTCTCGTTTCCTCCATAAAGACATCAGTGGTTGGGATTCAGCCCCTACCTGAACCTCTTCACTCAAAGACATCTGCAATGACTCTTTCCCAGGGAGGGCACCTGGCAGGGACCAAGGGTTAGGACTTGGGCATTCCTTTCTCGGGGCACAGGTCAGCTCACTACAGAAGACAAGGAGCTCACCCTGCAGAGAGAACCCGGAAACACGCAAGTCCCCCATCGGGGCAGCTTCAGTTGGACGGCAGCTGCATCTTCCCGTGGCAAGTGTTGGAGCTGCTCCGTGGGAATCCAGGGGGCAAATCTACCCGCTGGTGGCAGATGAGGGTGCGGGGACCCCTGGAGCAGTCTGGGCATCTCCATCTGCATTTAAGTAGAAAAGCAAAGGGACGTGCAGGGGTCATGGAGGGAAAGACACCCGAGTCTCTGCTAGAACCCCAGCTCCTCAGTAGCACAGGCCTCCTCACACCCAGCCCCCCATTCTCCAGCCTCCTAACCAGCTGCAGCCATATTAAGTGGTTTCAGGTAAAGTCTATGTCTACAGACACCTGTCCTACTGTACCACCTAGGAATTCTAGTCCTGTTAAAGCTGGGGCCTTCTGGGAAACTGAGGCAGAATGAAGTCCCCCCCCTTCAAGCCCTGATTCTTGCCTTAAGTAAAAAAAAAAATTGAGACATGTCGCTCAGAGTAACAGGCTTGAGTTTACTGAAGAGATAGTGTTACCACTGTCGACCGCTGACGAGTCCTTGCTTGCCCAGTGTTGAAGAATAACACCAGAGAAGCACGCCGAGGCAAGGTCAGAGTGGAAATTAGAAGTTCATTAAAAGACAGCAGAAAAAAGACTTCTCCAGAGGAAGAAGGGGACCCAAGAGGTGGAATCCGTGGAAGTGCGGTAGTTTCCCCTTTTTATAGTTCTTTCAGTGATGGAATGTAGGTGGGAAGGCCTGAGGGGTGGGGCACAGGTGGGCCAAAGAAGTAATCTTCATTAACACTTCTTTGGGATGGGCTCTGGGATGGGCTTTTCCCGGACTTCATTAACATTCCAAGAGTTGTTCTGCTTTTCCCGGAATTCATTCTCAACATGGCCTCCATTTTGGATCTTACTTGATATTAGACCCGATTTACCTAACTACACTGACTACCTAACTTTAAATATGGCTTCAATAGGAAGGAAAAGGGGACACTCTCAAGGGAGAAGGGGGTCCTCTCAAGGAAGAGGGGGACACCATGCCTCTCCTGCACTCTGGTTTGGTTGAGGATCCCAGAGAAGTTTTCAGAGAGTCCCACCCAACTCCACCTCTTGACGTTTGACTGACAGCAGAATGACATCAGACTTTCAAGTCCCCACTACTCCAGGTCACCTTGGCCCATGCTGACGAGTTCTAATTGGATTTTTAACCATAAATTCTTACAGATTTTATGGTCGGGAGGAATCATGCTTATCTCCCAGGCTTAGAATCTGGTCCATGTGAGCTTTCAGAGTAACTCGGTTCCTCATATCCACATTATTTCGGGCTTGCAATTCTCCTGCAGATAACAGGTACTTTGAAAGGAATGCGGCATATCCTGTCTTAGGCCAGACGGGGCTGCAGGTAAACTGCTTCTTGGAAAAGAAAGCATGTGGGGTCTGCACAGTGGTCTCATTTTATAGAATTTCTCCCTTAACCTCCTGTGCCCACCACTCACATCTGTCTGACCCCCGTCAGTCCTAGGAGGGAAAGGCCTGGCTTCCAAATGCATTCATATATTTGTTTCAACTGTTATTTTCCAGCCTTCCTGTTTTGCATTTTCTTCTTGGGTCAAGGACAAGAAGAGACAAATGGATCACGCTTGAGCTTACATGTGTTAGGCCTTTAGGCAAAACTATTTCACAAGAGCACTATCTTGAAAGGTTATCAGTTTCCCATTAATCGAGTTCTCAGTGTCTCCCAAAAAGAAAATGGACCATAAGGACAGTCTATGAGTTCAGGGATTTTCATCGGGACATCAGAATTCAGGCCACCTGGGAGAATTGAGAATGGGGACCACCAGAAAGGGCCAAGCAGAAGCCTCCTGTGAGTGGCTAAGATGACATTTAACTCACATTTTTATTGACTATGCTGGTTCAATTCCTCTTCCATTCCAGGCCCTGGGGGTAAGCCAGGAGAAAAGGAGACCACTCCAAACCAGCCAGAGCCGATCACAAGGGCAGGTTGCCCTCTGCAGGGCATGGAGGGACATGCGCCCGGGTCTCTGCAGCCTCTAGGTTATTTTACATTTTTGTTTCTGTTTTATGCAAGGCTCCAAAATCAGCAAAGTGATTTCTTCACACTCCGTGGTTGTAAGAGACCCCTCCACCTGGAACTTGTTCATTTCATGAGCAATGTCAGGATTCAAGGACTCAAGGCCATGGCTGAAATATTTGCCCAGGCATTTGGAATTAATCTGAGCCATCAGCTAAGGGTGGGTGGTGTCTGGGTGGCCAGGAACATGGAGACAAACTGTGGTGGAGTGGGGACTGGAACATTCCTCACCTGCATAGGAGAGATTTTACTGGTTAGAAATAATAGAAGCCATCACTTTCATGAGATCGTATTTTAAAGAGTGTGACATGCCTACACATGCTGGGCTGGGACCGGAATCCGGGTTTCTCAGTTGCAGGGCTTTCCCCATCTGTGCTCTAGGGCAGGCAACATCAGGAAGAAAAAAACCTGGGGAGAGAATGGCTGCCACCATCTGGCCTCTGGAGCTGTGCCTGGCCCTGTCTGACGCGAGAGTTGGCTCAGATCTGCTCTCCTACGAGGGAGCCTGTCCTCCAGTGCAGGGAACTGCTTGTGGTCTACAGTCTGCATCCAAAGTAAAACTTCAGAGGGGCTTATAGGTGTTAGGCCTTTAGGCAAAACTACTTCACAAGAGCACTATCTGGAGAGGTCATCAGTTTTCCATTTATCGAGGGGATGTGGCTCAGTGGCAGAGCCCCCCCCCTCCTTAGCATGCTCAAGGCCCTGGGCTCAATCCCCAGCACCACCGCTCCCCCCCAAAAAGTTAAAACCTCAGTGTGAGGCTGTAATATCCAGTGCATGTCATTTGTCAAAATGCATAGAATGTACAACACTGAGCGTGGACTCTAAGGTAAACTGTGGACTTTGGGTGACAATGTACCAAGGTAGGTTCAATTATAACTAGTATGTATTCCCCCTTGCCCTCTGGGGGATGTTGGTAGTGGGTGTTGGGAAAAGTATAAACGGCAGCTGCACCCCAGAGAAAAACCCCAACATGGCGCCTAATGACCTTCTCTTCCTACTTTCCCCTTTTTCTCACTGGTGCGAAAAGTTCCCGCCGTGTGAACTCTCCCGATGGCGTCAATTTCAAATCTCGCTGGCAGGGAACCTTAGCCCCAATAAGAACTAATTCCTGGGCTCTGGAGCTGATATCTGGAAGAACTTGCCAATAAACCGGTGGCCTGCCATTTGTCTAAGCCCTGCCATCTCCCCTTAGATCTATAAAAGCACACAGCCTTTTGCAATAAAATTGGAATTCTCCCAGCAAAGTGTCTTTTGCGTGGAGGATTCTTTCAGTTGGGGGGGCAACTTTCTTTATTTCTTTTTTTTTTTAAAGAGGGAGGGGGGGAGAGAGAGAGAGAGAGAGAGAGAGAATTTTTAATATTTTCTTTTTTTAGTTATCGGCGGACACAACATCTTTGTTTGTATGAGGTGCTGAGGATTGTACCTGGGCCACACGCAAGCCAGGCGAGCATGCTACCACCTTGCTGAGAGCCATGGCTGAGTCTGTATGGCCCCTGGCATTTTGCCAACAGTATTGATTGACAGGTGAGGCATTGCTATCCGCCTCTGCCGCAACTTTTGAGTTCTCGAACTATTTTGGAGTTCTCATGGGGATTTCCGGGGATTCCCCGAGAGTTCCCATTGGTTGGGGAAGTGCAGGAGGAGGGATTTCCGGGAGAGATATTTCTGGCTGGGGGTTCCTGGACTAGCTGCGTGGCATTCGGGAGAATTCCCCAGGAGCGTGTGTAAGGCTTTTTCTTGCAGTTCAAAAATAAAGTTTGTTCCTGCTTCAGTGGCTCGTGATTTGTGCCCAGCTAGACAGCGGCAATTGGCGGCCCGTATGGGGAATGTCTGAAGCTTCAGGGTAAGTGAAATTGCTTGCCCCTAAGGGAAGGCAAGAGAATGGGTGACCATTTTAAAAAGCAATGTGTTCTTGTTTTGATTTGTTTTGTGTTTGTTTCAAGCTGCCTATCCCTAGAATTTTCTCAGGCAGACTGGGAAAAATGGTTGGCTCAAGGTTTGAAGTTGTTCGCTCCTGAGGAAGAGATAGAAATAGACCACAAATGCACATGTCAAGAAAATAGGAAAATTGATACAACGATTTTTTGTTCTGTTTTTGTTTCATTCTGTTTCGGTTTTGTTTTGTGCTATCTTATTGGGTTGCGTTATCTTTATTATAGATTAGAAATTAGTAAAAAACAAACTGAAAGAGTGTTAAGTAAATTGTTAGAGGTTCAGACCATGGAGAAAGACATTTTAGATCAAGCAAAA